TTCTTTTGGGATGTTTGACATCATTGCATATATGTAAAACAAAATTAAGAACTACTTTCCTTCACACTTTAGTAATTGTGATGCTATTAACTTCCAGAAGAGAAAACAGAACACCAGTTTAATCCTGGTAGAAAAGTAAGAAAAGCAATGTCTAAGTGTTCATGCCTGGCATTTTAAAGCAGCTGCTAACAATTTTATTCTGTTGTCATACTAAAATTTTAAACTAACATTTACGACTGCTTAGTTGAAGTTAGTGCCGTATACCTGTAAGCTTAGAAAGGCAGGAAGAGCAAGTCTTCTCATGCTCTGTATTCATTTATGATGCACTGTTAGATATTTGAACCACAGTGCTGGACACCAGACCAAATGTAAATGCTGTTACAGTGAATGTGTTACCAAGGCAGTGGTTTTGAGATTTTTTTAAGCATTGTCTCACTGGTATCAGCTTGACCTTGTCATCCTCTATCAGTCCTTGCCAAGGCTTTTTTTAAAATCCTCTGCTGGGGGCAGTTAAACTGCTTCCAGTAACTTAGGTGGCTTGGTTGTTGTAGGCCAACGGACTGTGGTCACCAGTGACTGCAACGCAGATTTTCTCCAAAGACATAGGGGAAGGCCGCACGTTTATGTGATGAGGCCTTAGGAGAGATTTGGGCTGATGCCAGCTCCCAGGAGTCACTCCAGCCATGGTTTCCTATCTCCTCTTCTCTTGCTTCCCTGTCTCTTTGCCTCATAACTCCTTCTTGTTTTCATTTCTCCTTTTACAACCTATCTGTTTGTGTTACATTAAAAGCTCCTGAGTACAAGGATCTTACAATTTTTAATAAATAACCCAACACACTGTGCACATCAATGGTATCTGATGCTTTCATCCTTTTCTCTCTCCTTTCCCAGAAGTGAAGGTTCTCAGAAAAGAAATGGGGTTACTGTGGCACAGGGCATTCTTTGGTGAAGAGGAGAAAGGAGATCTCCCTTTCAACCTATTACAGTCCCTTGCCTTAAAGAATGCAGAAAACATGCCATTGCAAAGCAATTTTTGTGCAGAAATATATGTAATTACGACAGTAATTTATATGGCTGTAGAACTACTTGAAAAATTTACATTACTTCCACTGTATGCTGAGCAGATTTCACAATGACTGCCTAGATTCTGTGGTAATGATAGCTTTTGAAATTCACGTATTATAATGAGTAAATATTAAAAGATTCATATGTTCCATAATGAAAATAAAGCTCATGACAACAATAGTAATACATCTTATATTCAAAGCATACTTAAAAAGCAAGAGACCACTATACATTTAATGGAACATATATCTTATTTCTAAAGTGCGTCATTTAAAAAAAAAACTAAGAGCTGATTATTTGGGTATTACTAATTTTTTTAGGTCATAGGTCCTCTTTCTTTTTTCCTCCTTGAGTCTTGTGATCACTTACAACTTTGCAAATCTAAAGCTATACCTTTTTGCTTTAGAAAACTGTATGCTATAGGTATATATATTGTTGTTCCATAATGTGAACAATGCCAGAAGTGAAATGCTTTGGATTTCTGATGGACTTATGGACAGCTTAGACAGCTGCAAGTATGATGGCAAAAAATATGACCTGTAGCCCTGGGAGGTTTTTCATGAGCTAGACTGTGATGTAGACAGTTTTGCTGTCATTTTGGATACCCTCTTTCTGCCTATATATTGTAAAAGTCTTTGAGAAACAAGTTTCCTGAAAATGTGGACGTTTTATATAATGGCAGTGCTACTGCTCAGTTGAATAGAAGAACATATTCACCAAGAAAGAACTTGGGCAGGATGGATGAATATGTTCAAGTTAATGGTGACTTTAACAAAATATTTGCCCCAGTGTACTTCTTCAGGGGTTTCTTCGTTAAGACATTATCGTGCCTTGGTATTGCAAACTGGCATGTCTTCTGTGCTTGCTAGGAGTATGTTGGGTTTGCCGGAGCAGCCTGAGTGTACTTGCAGGTACAATCTGCAAATAAATGGGAAAATCTGCATCCACTGGAGACAAGAAGGGGCCAACAGCAGATGCTGTTGCCAAGTGTAGGATAAAACAAATGCATCTTGACCAAGGGTTGTTTAAACATCCAGACACATTCTCAGTAACGGAAAAAAAGATTCCTGGTTCACTTGGGTAAACAAATGTATCAGAAAAGGTTTTAGGAGTAGGGAAGAGTTGGTAAGGGAGTAAGCAGCAAAGAACATACTTTTTATAGGTCTGGAGAGGCTTAGCAGCGGTCACTCTGTTAGGCCTTGAAAAGACTATGAAAACAAATGTGATTAAGTAGAGAAAAATTTAAGTAGAGGCGTTTTGAAATGAGGATAGAACTGAGATTAATCTCAGGTGCAGCCAATGAAATGGATGCTTGTCCTCATCTTTTAATGAGGATAATCATCAGATACAGAAAGTATGCAAATTCTAAGCAAGATGAAACCAAAACTAAAAATAGCAAGTCCACTTAAGCAAAGGGACCGGAGAATCTCAGAGTTGTAAGAGAACTGAAGCATGAAACGGAGGTTCAATGCCATGGGCTTCTCATAAAACTGCTGAATAGGTACCATGTGATTAGGCTGTAAAAAATATGTTTATATGTATGGTCTGAGCTACTGCAGTTGTTAAGACAACACTAGAGGTAGTTTGAAAGGAAAAAAAGTAGAAATGTGCTTATAAAGTTTGATTGAGAAGAACTGGGAGTACAGAGAAGGAATGTCAGTTGTTCTAGAACGAATTGGAAAGCCTTGAGATCTGGAATAGTAGAAATAGGATAAAATATGAAGTGCATCAAAGGAAGCTGGGGAGTAATAAGAAACTATGTAACAGGTTGGGAGCTTCTCTTTGAAAATTGTAAGAAAGACAAATCACTGTAAAAAAGAAATACCTGCTCTTTTTTACCGCAGAAGACAGATAATAAGAAGTAAGATGAGGCAAAGAGAGACTTTCCCTAAAGATTTATGAAAATATCAATGAAAAAGCTTTACCAAACTTGAAATTTGTTCTGCAGTTAGAAATTGTTTCTTAAAGGGAGAGGAACCAGAATGGCACTGACAGAAAAGTAGATGACCACCACTCCTGCACTTAAGAAATACTAGAAAATAACTATGAATGTGAATAAATGAGAATTAACTGTCTTTTTTCTAATGGGACTTTTTAGAAAAAGTAATTATCTCTTTTTTTTTTTTTGTCTTTCAGCCATGGAAGAGTTAATAGTTGAGCTGCGCCTGTTTCTTGAACTTCTGGACCATGAATATCTAACTTCCACTGTCAGGGAGAAGAAGGCAGTAATAACTAACATTCTCCTGAGAATACAGTCATCAAAAGGTCAGTGTCAGGGGCGGATTTTCTTGCTTGCAGAATGCACAGAATAAGTTTGTGCTCAGTGAAATAGCTTTAAGAGCTCAAGACAGGCCCTAAATTGAAGGAAGACAGAAAGACAGGGTGAAGCCAAAGTGTAACTTTCCTAAATGTTTTCCTTCATGTTCAGGAGTAAAATATAGCATAAGGCATACTGGAAGTATCTTGGGTGCACACGGGTGAATCCAGCCACAAAATTACATGCTAGATATAGAATGTTTTCACTTCTGCTGGTAGAGTGGTTACTTCATTTTATTTGTGGTAGCAATGCTATTTATGAGTTTTGATGGAGAAGTTATACTGCATCAGGGAGTGCTGGCCACAGCACCATTTTATAGATGCGTGGGTGCTGCATGCTGCTTCTCTGTCAAATGACCCAAATTCATCAAAAGGCTTGATACAGAGGTGGACTCTGGTGCATGGCTGATACCGGAGTGCCAAGCCAGAACTAGGAAATGGTTTGCATTTTGGAATTATATTCACTTCCTGTTTTCTTCCTATCTAAAACCCATATGGACTGCACAATCACTTTTGTTTCCATCAAGATTATGGAATTGAATGTAATATAAATGATTCACTGTGTACAGCAGCCTTTCCACAGAGCTTATACGAAGAATATTCCTCACTATTTTCTCTAACAGAACTCTATATTTCTGTACAGCACCTTTCTGTATGAAGTGGTGTCTGGGCTATAAGACCTCTGTCTCTCCTACATTCGACAGAAATGCTGTCAGTGTAAACCCTCAATGTTTTTAGATTTTTGAAAAACACCAGAGTGTGTTGAAGAAAAATGCCACTGCCATTGTGAGCAGCTGCATTTCTCATGATTTGTTTCTTCTCCATTGCTAAAAAAAATATGGTCTTGTTTGATGCAGTGTTTTCCTCCATTAGTAAAGAAGTAATTTTTGCCACAGGATTCAAGTCAAAGGAGATCAACCTGAAAAAAATGGTTGTCCTCCTTTCCATTTTGACATTCTTAAAGACCCATTGCTATTTTTATTTTACTACTGAGAGAAGGAGGCAGGTACCAATTTCATATATTGTGGAAGAAGGCTTCATGCTCCAAAAGCTGATCAAAATACACTAAAATCCCCAAAACCAAAATCTGTAGGTGAGAAGCTGCAGTTTGGCATGTTTAGAAACAGCTGTGTTTTAGAGGAGTTCAAGATAACCTCAAGAATGGTGATTTGACACTTCATGTTGTTGTAATCTTTTCAACTAGATTTATTAAGAAAACCATCTGACTTCCTCAAGAAGATGACATTCTGTTTCCAATTTTGCAAACACAGGGAAGGGTTGTCATATCCTTTCCTTCTGGATTGTGGATGGTGTGTCAGGACACAAAAGCTACAGCTCTACTAGTAAATTAAACAGTGCTGGGTGTGTTTCTGGACCCTAGAACTCAATTATTTATGCTGTTAAAACTATGGAGTCATCCTTGGCATTGGTTTGGCCTGAGCTGACTTGTCTTCTCCATCAGTTCCTAGGCATGATTTGGGATCTGACGCAGAGAAAGATCTGTTCCCAAGAGACAGTTCAAAATCATTACCCTCCACCTTGGTTTTGAGAGGTGAGAGAGTTTAACTGTATAGATATCAATTTATCCATACCAGAGCACCTTCCTAGACATCTTCAATTTATGACTCTAGATATGGCCAAGTATAAAAAGACCATAGCTTTCTACCTTTCAGCACCTACCATTTTGGATTTAAAGCCTATTACAGGATCTATAAAAAGATCCATTACATCCTATTACAGGATCCGTCCATTAGCAGGATCCATCCATTAGCATGATCCATATGAGATCCATATGTTACGTAGTAGGGCTTAGCTCAGTGCAGATGTTACTGGAATATTTTACCCACTTCTAGCACCTACATTCAAGGAGATAAAATTTAGACATTTCAAAGAAAAGTCATAAAAGTGATTTGATTCTGTGAAATATGCCTTCAAATTATCCAAAATGAGATACCATAATTAATCTTGATGTAGAAAAGGAATGACTGAGAAAGAGCTCTTAGACTTACACAACAGTCAGTGCAATGGCTGAATGTTTGTTTCAAAGTGGAAATAAAGCACATGTTTTGAGCACTGAAGCTATGAACTAATGGAAGAACTACGTAAAGTCTGCATGCCATTGCTGGCATTTCATCAAGATGGAATATTTTTCTAAAAGATATGTTCTGGTTCAAACAAGAATCAATTCAAGAAAATCCCATAGTTCAGTTAAGCAAGAGGTCATAGGACTATGCTTTATATGTCTATAAACTCTAGTTTATGGAATTTCGGTTTAAATAGAGGCTAAGCCAGCATGTCCTCTAAAAAAAGCATCCTGTTTCTCTCCCCAGGCTACTTATTCTTGCTCGTCATATATTGCTTCTTCCTTTCTGCTAGCACAAGCATTATTTGCCTTTTTTTTTTTCTGGTTTAGTCCTAACCAGTGTTACTTCCCTGGTCTGGTTCAACCTGAGGCCACACACATGCTTACACTGGCACAAAGGAAAGGTTGGTGCCGGAAGAGAAGGCAGGGAAGGAGAGGAGCTGCCTGCTTGGGAGCTCTGCCATCCCATGCTGGCTTCAAGTGTGTGTGAAACTGCCCAGGGAGTCATGTACTTTACTGGAGCTGGCCCTGCTGCTTTTTTTATCAGTTATAACATTCAGTACTCCCATCCCTTTGAAACTATTCATCTCTTCATTAAAATTAAAAGCAATAAAAGATACATAAACCCACAGTTCTCTGTAACAAAACTGAACTGTCATTCAGAGTCTGTTTTTCAAAATGTTGTTTTACTCCACCCACATAACTCCATGAGAGCTCTTGGTTTGCTGGCACAGTTTAAGAGGCCTGAGGACTATGCTGAGTTCAGAGTCTTTATATGCATTTGCAAAAATCAACTGTGTGAATCCAAGAGGATATTTCAATTGCTGGAGCAAACCATTTAAGATCAATGGGAAACGGTAATGAAGGATCTGGGCAACTGGGAACTGGCTGGGTTCTTTATAACATCTGGAAATGGACAATTATGTTTTTCTTTGTAAAGGTGTGGAAATTATTATAATGGGCTGTTTGGCTTTTAGTGAAACAGCTTAAACTCACTAAGTTCTAACTTGGGGAATTCTTTAGAAATCTTTTGCCTTTTTTGTTCCATCTCCCAAATGCAAACTGTTTTCTTCAAGTCTTATCTATCAAGTAGAGAGAACTGGGCCAGGCAGATGTGTTCTTCAGGTCATAGCTGCCTGGCCTTGGCCTGCCCCTGTCCAAACCAGTGGTTACTCTGAATAGCTGGCAAAACTATAAACTTTATTTTTCTTCCTGAGCCTTGGCATGCCCAATGGATTGTAGGTCTGAAGAAAACACTTGGCATTTCCTTCTGAAACAGACTTTCTTCTGAAAAACAAAGACACAAACAGTTTATTTTGGAGTAAGAACTGTTGCTGGATTTAGTAATTTAATATGACTGTCAACATTGCCAGTTTTCCTTAAAGGGACCTGATGTCTTAAACCTATAGTGCTCACTTTGCTGTGTAATTTGGTAGAGGAAAATAAATGTTAGAGCAGGTTCTTGCTTAAACACACATAATTTAAAACTGGGGAAAAACTAGTTATATGAAGTCAATAGAATTGACTTGGAATACTTTTTTTTTTCTCAGTAAAAAGCCCTTCGTATTTGACTTGTGGTTGTTATGGAAAGCATGGGAAACTTGGATATGGATAGCAGTCATAATATGGATTCCTCCTACATAAAGAGGGACAAGTGAATGTTACACTCAGAAAAAAATAGTGTTGGAATGTTTCCCAAGACTAATACCCCTCTCGATTTGTAGGAAGAAAGAAGAATCCGTGGCCCTTGGAGACAGTTTATTTTATCAGTGTTGTTTTTCAATCCATGACTTCACAGCCAGTGGGACTGGGGTATTATGACAAGAAACATTTCATCACTGATTACATTTTTGAGAATTATATGATCTTGATCAAAATATATCCATTTGACTATGTAAATATATGTTTTAAAAACTAAACTAAACAATAGGAGCTAAATTCAGTCTAGGGGTAAGCAGGGTAGAATCCATTGACTGAATTTTTGCCAGAACATTGAGAAGATGCACCCTAATCTCCCTTTTGATATTTAGAAAAATAAACAATATCATGTTCCTATCAAGTGAGTTCAACTGTGATTTAAATTATCGTGCCAAAAACTAAGAACAAGTGGGTCGCTCCTCTCTTCCCCTGGGAGGGAGTTGCAATGGTGATACAAAGGACCCTCAAAGCAGCTTTTACATTCATCTCCTTTTCACTTTTTAAATTCAGCTGCAAAACTATGGAATTATTTTTAAAAAATGGGTAGAAGAAGGAAATGGTGGGAAAACATGCTCAGTGTGCAGTTTTGTTAATGGTGAGTTGGTTAGGGCAGTGTCCCCCCAGCAGCAGTGTGCTCCAGGTTGGGATGTTGCAGCATTATGAATCTCCCAGGACTTTTGCAGACTTGCACCACAGCTCCATGATCTCATATGGTGGTGGCAGCAGGGACCCCAGGGAACGTGGGTGCTGTGGCCTTGGCTGAATAGCTGTCACCATCACTGCCAGGAAGGGAGGCAGGCAGGGTCTCTTCTTCTGCCCTCTTCGCCTCTCTTGTGTCGTGGGAGGTGGTTTGGGACTTGTTTCTGCATGATGGCCTTGCCCGTCCAAAATGTGTCATGGGAACAACTATTGCTTGTCTCCACTGGTAAAAGGCAGCTAGGCACATACAGCCCACAGGCTGACTGTGTTTTATTCACTGTGCGGTGCTATTGGGATGTTCACAAGTGTGGTATCTTCCACCCATAAATGGGTTTATCTGTATGGTAGATGACTGGCAATGTGTTTGAATTTTAGCTGTTTAAGTCTTTCAGTTGCAGATGGATAGGCAGTTCAGAATGATTTCCTGTAAATTTTTTCTGGGCCTGGTATTTGTTGATCCAAATAGCATATGTGTCATTATCATATAGAGTAAGTATGTGTTTGTTCTGCTTGATTAAATTCCTGAATTCCCAGCATTCTTCCAGTCCTGCCTCAGGAACTGCGCTTGGGAGGTAGGCTGTGATCAGCACTGTGTGCCAGATTTCGGTGTGTGACAGTCAGACCTGGTGTCCACATATGGAAAAAATAGTCCTGTTTGCCTCTACCGAAGTGTTCAGTGATGTCCGTTGCTCTTCCACAGGTTTTGAAATAAAAGAACATGTACAGAAGCAAGAAGTTGCCAACAGTTTGCCGGCGCCTCCTCAAATGCCTCTGCCAGAAATACCTCAGCAGTGGCTGGTGAGTGTTAACTTAAATATATAAATATATATAAGAGAGAATATATTTGTGATAAGCACTAGCAGAAATGGTTACAAGGGGAAGGAGCCTCCAGGTCCAGGGAAATGATTGTTCCTCTCACCTATGCTCTGGTTAAGGGAATTGGGTTCGACTTGCAGAAGAAAAGGCCAAAAATTCCCTATGGTGATACAAGCCTGGGAACAGGTCACCTGCAAAGGCTATGGAATCACAGTCTTTGTCGAATTTCAAAATTCAAGCAGTAAAAGCCTGAGCAACTTCAGGCTTCTTAACTTCAAAGGTTGACCCACATTGTGTTGGAGGTCAGCCTGGCCAAGCCCACAGACTCCAGATAGTTTTAATGATCAGCTTTTCCTGCAGTAAGCCTTGTGAGAAGACTCCCTCCTGATAGCTGAAAAACGAAGGTGCAAAGTTTTAAAATGAAGGAAGAATGCTTCTTTTTTTTTTTTTTTTCATAAAGTCTTTAGTGCCCTTCTGTGCTCAGTCTCTGGGTAGGAAATTCCCTGCAGAACAAGTAGAAGTGCATGTTCTTGGTGATGCTTATAGCGAAGATACTGACTGAGATCTGTAATTCAATTCCTCCAGTTAGGAGCAACTGTCTTGTTACAGAATAAACTATAAAGAAGTTTTAATGCTCCTCTGATGCTAACTTAAAAGTAGATTTGAAGAAAACTTTTTCAGCATTTTTTTAAAGAAGAATAAGCAAATTGTGGTTTAGCCTGTTGAAAGATTAACATGGTCTTAGCCCTAATACTGACAAATTATCCACCTTTTTATTCATTTGTGGAAAATTTTGTGCATGGTGATAAGGACAGTTTGTGGAGACCCACATTTATTGGCTGAAGCAAGAAGTAGAGATGTGGCTTACGGGAGCAGAACAACTGGATGGCTGATGTTCTGCTTCTTTTTAGTGTGTTATTCTGTTACCACATTTATGCCCAGTTCTAAGATATATATAAGCCAGTAGTATTTTATGAACATATGAACTAATTTATCAAACTCTTGGCCATCCTTTCATAAAAACCTTTATGTGATGGTGGATAATGCTATGTACTGCAGAACAAAGTGAAAAAAAAACAAACACAAATGTGTTATGTAGAGTATCTTAATCATAAACACTAAGCACTGTCAGGTTTTGGTTTGTGACCTGAACAAGATTTTTTCTTTTTTTTTTTCAATTTTATTTCTACTTAATGTAATGAGATATGCTGAAATCATTATAGGAAGGGAATGTTTATGCTAGAAACTTTCATATTCAGAGTCGGTGTATATACTGTAGCAAAATTCAGCTAAAATGGGTGCTGTAAAATAAGTATGCATAGGCTTGAATGGATGCAAAACTGGTCTTATTAATACGCAGGAAAACCTGAGGAATCCATTTCATGGTTAACAGTGCCTGAAAATTATTATTTTTCTTTAATTCAAGATGCGTATAGCATAAATTACAAGGGAAGGGGTTGATGAGAGGCAGGAAAATTATGCAAAATGCACATGCCTTTGAAATGCAGACTCCAGGTGCTAGCTTCATAAACTGAAGCCAGTTGAGATCCTCGTTCTTTCATATTTATGTAGGTTCAGTTTAATAAATTGGCTCTGAAGATTCAAGTTGTTTTTCTAAAGACAACTGACCTACTTTTCCTTTCTCTTGCACTAATGTGTAAATTCCCTTAAAGTTGGTACAGCTGCAGCGAGTGAAATGGTGAGAAGTATGAATTAGGTCCAGGAGGTCAACACTGGTTTTTACCGTAGTTCAGTTTTGTTTTTTGAGTAACAAACAGTTCTCTCAGATACAGTGGGAGTTACCATGGAAGTTGACACTGGCTGGTCTGGAACATTTGTCTTCCTGTGTTGAGCCTAGCAAAGTGGACATGAGCCTCCCCTCTGACCTGCCTGTAATGCTGCAGATGCTTTCATCTCCGTGTAGTCAGCAAGCTGAGCTGGTTTTCCTATAGTGGCAAAGCTATTTTTGCCAGTTTTTCTGCAATTCTGTTGCTGCTGTCATGCAGTTGTGGCTTTTACTTCCCTTTCTGGTGTCGGTGCTGCTTTGAGATCAGCCAGGCAACATCCCGAGCCTCTTGTTGTCTTGCATTATCCAAACACAGGTTACGAGTGGTGCTATTTTAAGAGGTAGTACATTGTAATTTGTGCAAGAGATGACAGACTGCTGCTGTCCTGCAAAAGACCAGGTGGGGTCAGAAGGGAAGGATAAAAAAAGGGAAGGACATGATGGAGGCAATCTTTTTAGCAGGGCCTGTTGTGATAGGACAAGGAGTAATGGTTTTAAACTAAAGGAGGGTAGATTTAGACTGGTTATAAGGAAGACTTTTTTTACAAGGAGGCACTGGAACAGGTTGCCCAGAGAGGTGGTAGAAGCCCCATCCCTGGAAACATTCAAGGTCAGGCTGGACGGGGCTCTGAAAAACCTGATCGAGCTAGAGATGTCCCTGCTTGCTGTAGGGGAGTTGGACTAGATGGCCTTTAAAGGTCTCTTCCAACCCAAACTGTTTTATGATTCTACGATAAAACCATCAGCTTTTTGACCTTTGAACACTGGGGCAAGCTCAAACCCCAGACTGACTGTTTAAAAACTTCTGAAGTCGTATCAAACAAATGGAATTGATCATTAGCTGATTTTTGGACATCTTTCTTTATTAGATGCCTCTTTGTTAGCTCCTCATTATTATTAGATATGATCCGAGACTGTCATATTATCTTTCTTTTTACATCAGGCTGAACATCAGTGACAGTGGCCAAGATCTAATTTTCAATTTCCATTAGTGCTCCCGCATGGTGATTTTCAACCTACCCTGAATCAATGGACTCCTAAAAATTTGTAGCTGATGATGCCAATCTCTATAAAAAACTGTACGTAATTATGTTGCTCAGTGACACAAACACTGAGCCACCTTTCCTAGCCACTTCTCATAAACTGTGCTTTCGTAGTTCAGTGGAAGAAATCCCCTGGGCCCATCAGAATCTAGGAAATTCTGCTCCAAGTTGCCCTTCTTTACATGGCAAGTGGGAAGTCATGTTATATGGCACCTCTTTTGCCAGCCATTCGGGGCAGAAACTTTTTGCCACTTGCTGAACAACATCTAGCAGTGGTCTCAGCCTCCAGTGGAAACACAGTGTGCTGCTGGAACATAGGAATTTGCTGCAAGTGGGAATCAATAACTTTAAATAAACTATGCACTGTTTTAAAACCTATGTTTTTAGCACATCAGTTATTGAGCGTGATGGTTTCATTCACACCACTGTTTCTCTTTATGGTACTTGAGGGATTCTGCATTCAAAAATGTTTAGTCTGAAGTGATGTTTAAGCTTTTACTTATGTAAAGATGTGTGGGTGGGAAGGAATTCAATACTCCTTAAAGTAGTGCCAGGAGCCAGAATTATGTGTGGGCAGGTGCTGTGCAAGGTTTCCTTTGTAAATCTGTAAATAGACCTGCGTATTTGCTCAGGCCAAATCTTGTATCAATTTTGTAATTCATCAGCCCATGAACAAAGAGCATAAAATTCATTTTATTTAGAGACATGCTGTTAATAGTTTAAATGAAGTCTCTGGTTATTAAAACACATTAAAGCCCAGAGAGTTTTCCTGGACTCAGTGGACTTTAGACCAGGTCTTAAAATTGAGGGACAAATTTGGACCTTGCATATACTTGAACAAAGCGAGTCACGAAGCATGCAGTCTCTTAGTAATTATCTTTTTCTGTATGCATTCCCTTGCCTACATCTGGTCTAGCAGACTTTCTGTCAGGCTTAGAAAGCACAAATCCTCGCTTGCTTCAGCCTATGCATACAGCTCCTTCAGAAGGCCAGCAAAGTAAAAGCTGCAGATAAAGGATATGAGCATAGGAGCAACATGGAGTCCTGCCGCAGAACTGAAATGCTGCTTGCCTGGTGCGTTAAATGTGCTTGCTAGCGTGAATACAGTGCCAGCAGCTAGAGATGCTTTGCCTGGGTCAGCAGCAGAGGAGATCACTGTGTTTGAAACAGAGTCATAATTGGTTCTCCCCTCTTGAATCTGCTTACTGTGAGGGCTTGTGTCTTTTAGCCTGCTTTCTCCATCTCTAGATCAGCAGCTACTTCAATGGTATTTCCCTGCTCTTGACGGGCAAGAAGCAGCACTCAGTGATGGGTTTAGAGGAATAACAGAGCCAATGCTCTGTGTGTACCTCAAAGTGCTGCTGGTGGTTTGACACCTGGCATCCCGTCATTGCACTATCAGCACATTGCCCTGAAGTACTTTTTCCACTGAGGCAGTAGGATAACATCCGGTGTGTCCTGCTGCTCACATGCGCCTAAGGATTACTGGCATAAATTATCCACAGCATGACAGTGACAGAATACTTCTAGCCTCCAAGCATTTGGTTGTCATATTACCTCTGACAGTCGGTGATTTCAGTGCACTGTGCAGTCCAACAAAATCAAATACAAACAGCACACTTAGCTATTTTGCATGATTTTCACAGTAAAATTGAGCATATGTTTTGTTTTTCTTGGAATATGGACAATTTAGAAATTATTTAAGCGCAACAAGTGTCCAGCAGGATGCCAGAACCCCTGTAGATATAAATCAAAAGGATAGGTCATCGTTCTCCAACCCTTTCCTGCAACGTACACAGTCACTCTGTGGGAGTGTTTCATATAAATGGTTTCCTATTGTGGAGAAGTAATTCGACAGCCTCCCTTTATCTGGCTGCCTGTCAGGTATACTCTTAGATATTTATTAGAAAACGTTGAAAGGAGACACTGACCTTGGAGAATAAAAATCAACCTGATATCAAAAGGATTTTTGAGGTGATACATCACCAATTACATTAATCATTCTTTGAACAACAACCAAAAAAGTGCAAGTCTTAAAGCTTCTTCTAAAATGTGCAGTGAGACTAGTGCCGTAACAAAAGCAAGGGGCTCATGTGCCAGGTGGGTACTTGTGAATCTTTATTTCATCTTGCTTTTTCTTCTAACACTGAAAA